ATAACACCAAATTTGATTATGAGAATAGTTGACAACGAATCGATTATGAGAATATTATTGATTTAGTCGATTACTTGTTGCAGCTCTAATTACAATAACAACTGGTAATCTTTATTCGGTGCACTGTAGTTTCCCTTAAAGTTTAAAGATATTAAGCCTAGCTTACAAGGCCAGTGTGCATTAGAGGTGAATATCCCCCTTGTTGTTTAGAATTACCAGCAGTTGCAGAAAGATTTTATGGAGGATGATCACGAGCGAGCCGTGTCGGTGGCTGCTCTGTCTGTCCAACTCTTCACTGTCCCTACCCTGGTGAGTAAATGGCGATTTTGTTTTGAACTGATAGATGGCACCCCTTGTCTTTCTTACTTTCCTCTCACTAGAACTATGAGCGATTGCAGAGTGATTATGTCAAAGATGACCACGACAGGGAGTTCTCAATCACTGACCTATCCGTGCAGATATTTACAGTCCCTTCACTTGTAAGTATTCGAGTTAGTGTACGCACACGTGGCGTCCTTGAATGCGTAAGTATTAGCCAGGCTGAGAGGCTCTGTTGGCCACCAGACACGGGTCAGGTTTCATCATGGGCTGTATGAGCGTGCGTGTGTTAATACCATTATTTCATAGTTTTACTTGCTTGTCATATCATTTGCCTGCACATAATGGAGAAATACATTTTATAGGTGAATGTGAACCAATTTATTTTTTTTTCCATTATGTTTGGTGTAATGTCTCACTGTATACAAATCATTTATTGTTGATCAGTTGCAAAGTTTCTCATCTGCAGGGCCTACCAATTACTGAACTTTCTGCTGCGAGCTGACAACCCAAAACCTTTATTCAACATTCTGCCCAACACTATCGCCCAAAATCAGTGTTTTTCTTTACAATTATTATCCATGTACCTGGCTGATGTACCCCTTGTTTGGCTTTGTTACTAAGTGATGCACTAAGCCGGAACAAGCATGCAGCAGGTGAAAGAAGTATTGGGAGAGTAAAATATTATTTTCCCAATACTTGGAGCTGGTGTGGGACACTGCAGCCATCACATACTAGTTCTTTATACTGATAGCCGAGTGATCATGTAACTGCTGATCGCAGCTCATGGTCTCTCCCCCCACCCCCTGCAGAGAGAGGCAACTGTCAGTCGCTGCTCCCTGCAGGGATTCCTCCCTTCTCTGTTCCTTCAGCACACAGTGCAGGGGGCAGACACAGCGGGCTCTGACTGTAGAGAGATGGAGCCAGCTGTCACTCGGGCAGTAGTGGGTAGTAGCCCGCTATATGCGGACTTTGGGTAAATGTATTCTGGGTTACCCAAAGCAGAAGTAAAGCCAAAAAAAAAGGTTTGACTTCTCTTCTAAGTTTAGAAACAAAAACAGCCCGCATGCTTCTTCCTCGTCAGGGGCTCAGTAAATAGGGAAACCTTAAAATGTGCATACTTCTATCATAACAGGTTTACTTAGGTAAAGGGTCATGGGATGGGAGTGGAGGGATTGTAGTTTTGCCTAGGGAAGTAGCTACAAAGCCACATTCCTACTTGACACAAGGACCTTATTTCCAGGGCAGTGAATCTGAACCTGTGTGGTAGCGTTGCTGCCCCTGAATGTTTATGAAGTACAGGGTTTAGAGCCTTGGTTCTCAACTGGTGGGTCGTGACCCAAAAATGGGTCGCAAGCCTGTGTTCAGTGGGCCGCCGCATACCTTCCCTTTTTTTAGGGGAGAGGCTGCTCTGCCTTCCCTAGCGCAGCACCGTCGGTTCTTGTGCCGAGCAGCCATTCAAAATATGCTGCGCGGAGGCGAGTGTCAGCTTGAGGTGGGCTGGGGGTATGGCTGCGAGGGAGCTCCATCCATACGTGCATTGCTTACAGCTCCCTCGTGTGTCCTATAGAGGTGCCTTGACCGGAGTGACTTCAGATTCTGGCTCCCGGCACCTCTTCCAGCTCAAGGGAGCTGTACAAGCAATGCACATATTGATGAAGCTTCATCACAGCACAGCAGTCCACACTGGGCCCCAGGCTGGGGGTCCACTCCAGTTCTCATAAGGTAAGGCTACTGGGTGGACCTTAAAAAATAGAAAACATTTTTTGGTGTGTGTGTGTGTGTGTGTGTGTCAGTGTTTTTGAGGCCCGTTCACACTAGTACACTGCGTTAATCACATAGTGCCATTTGAATGGTGTCCCAAACGCACCTCCCACCCACAGTTCGTACGCCTGCATTGGAATGTGCGGTACCATAATGCCGTGCGTTCCATTGCAGTGCAGACATTGCAGACTTGGGTCGCGACTTAATGACCAAGGACAAATCTGGGTTCTGAGGTTACACAGGTTGACTTAAAGAAAACTACATTTTAGAGCCCTGCCATTACCCTTAAATTCCGAGCCCCTTCATGACCTGGGAATCTATTCAACTTCCGAGTCTATGCTTAGTAGAGTAGATTAAAGCTGGCCATACACTTGGCCTCAATGCTCAATTCCTCATCTACTCTAAACAGCATGAATGAAGGAATCTTCCCTGCCGGCTATTGTGTTCTGACATTTGGTGCCACAGTTACCATATCATAGTTGGGTATTATAGATGGTTACCATTAGTACTTCAAACTGACTTCATTTCACTTCCTATTTACATGTATCGTTGTTTGTTACAAGTATAACTGATTACATTTCTTTCTTCCTTTTTAATTTCTTTTTCCCCTTTTCAGCACCAGATTCTCAGTGCACGTCATTACAATGTTCATTTTCATATTGCTGTTATTTACTAAAGATAAAACCTATTGATCTTGCCTAGGCTCGGATGTTGGTGACTGAAGAGAACTTAATGACCATCATAATAAAGACATTTATGGATCATTTGAGACATCGAGATGTCCAAGGCAGGTTTCAGTTCGAACGATACACAGCACTGCAAGCTTTCAAATTTAGAAGAGTTCAGAGCCTAATTTTGGACCTTAAGTGAGTACAACAATAGAAACCTAGATACGTTCACATCTTTCGGCTTATATGAGCCTTGGCCAACCTGTACAGCTGCTGGTTCCCCTATTGTGCGTGTATATAAAAATGTGGGAAAAGAAGCACATACAGTATATTAGCCATAGCAGCCAATCCGGTGAATGGTTTGGTTTGTTTTCTAACCTTCTGTAGACGAATGCATTTTGGAATCTGGCTGCATTAGACAAAACATTTGCTTTTCTGTCTTCCATATTTTGTGAATAGTCTCTGCTCTGGCCCTTCCTTCCTAAAACCTATATGTGCAAGTTGTTGGCTTAGTTGTTGGCCAAGCTGCTCCGTGTGCTATCTTGCTTCTGTACACACTGGTCTTTTAGTGCCTCAAATCATACTAATAGATTGGCAACATAGACCTGTGCAATAAAGCTTTATTTGGTCACAGAGAGGACTGTGGAAAGGTAATATAAAGACAGATTTTAGGAAGTTATACTAGCAGTAGTGTCTGTGTACTATAACAAAGATCAAGAAATGTTTATTCTTTCCTCTGCAGATATCTGCTTATTAGCAAACCTCCAGAGTGGTCATCTGCTCTACGCGCCAAGTTTCTGGAAGGGTTCTATGTCTTTTTAGAACTGATGAAGTGCATGCAGGTATGTCCTGTGCCCTGTGCCTTTCATTATATGCAAATTTTATTGTCTCAAATTATCAATTTTCTGTATTGCTGCTTCACCTGTCTGTCTGTCCGTGCAGGGGATGGACCCCATAACCCGCCAGGTAGGCCAGCATATTGAGATGGAGCCAGAGTGGGAGGCGGCTTTCACCTTACAGATGAAGCTAACGCATATCATTTCCATGATGCAAGATTGGTGTTCTACTGATGTAAGCATCACATACATACATGTTTTCATCATTATATATAGCTGTAGTGCATTCCACAGTCCTTAACAAATAACACAGAGCCATTAAAATCCATGCCTTGCCTTTTACAGTGCTGCTTTTATTATCGTATATTTTCCATTTTACTTTGTGCTTGCTAACTCCCTGGAGTTAAAGTAGAATTAAACCTTTGGGGTTTTTTTTGCATATATCTACTGCTAGCAAGCAAAATAAATAGTTAACATATAGGCTAAAACTTACCTGTTTGTCCGCTGCTCGCACCCGTCCGAAGTTCTGAAGAATCACAGGCGGTCGTGAAGGATCGTGGGGCAGGCACATGCACAGTAGAGATCTTTGGCCGGGAGAAGAGACGCAGGGTCAACTCAATGCACGCAGCCCGTCAGCGTGCACGCGCACAGACTCCATGGGACACAGAAGACCCAGCAGACAGCGCTGGATCAGAGACTGGCAACGGTGCTGGAGGGACTACTGAAAAAAACTGACAAGAAGATGATCGAATCAAGAGGCAGCATTTAAAGTCCTTAAAGCAGCATTGGGGGGAGGAAAGAAAATGTCACGTTAATAGCCAGAGTCCTTTTTAAACTATTTGTTTTTTGAATTGTAGGAGATAATCTGAACACCTGAACTAAGTCCAAATAACACTAGAAGAATATACAAACTTCTCGAGAACTCTGGACAGGTTTACTTTAGAATAGAAATTCCTATTAAGATGCTTTCAAACCCAGGTTACTGTTTGAATAAAACTTGCACAGGAAAGAGAAATCACAGATAGCAATAAGGAAAAGGCTAGGTGGGATATCTCAAGCAAATCTAAACTTTGTCCATGCAAAGCAATGCAGCAAGTTTCCTTCACTCCTGCGATGCTCTGTGAAACAACTGGGATTGAAGATAATAGCATGAGGGGACATTTATTTAGCAGATTAGCGACACAGTGACAAAGCAGACTGCCTTTCCATCAGCAACGTTTGTGTGACAGATTTACAGATCTTTGTCAAATTTCTGAGGATGAGTCAAATTTTCACTCTAAACAGATGCACATTTAAGAAGTGGAAGGGGTCGGGGTTTATTCTGTTGCTACTTTAGAGCAGCCAAAGGAGGAATTTATCTTCTTTCTTTTACTTCTCCTGTTTAGCATTGCTTTGTCCTGTGAATTGATAAATGTCCCCCCTTGGACCTCCAGGTATGGTAGAGCATGTGACTTGCTGTCCTTCCTCGTGTGTGCACTGGAAAAAGGTTAACTTTAAGGTCCCTGGTGATCTTTGAACCCAGGGATTTAGTATTGCAAGATCAAACTGTTTACCACTTAGTCATTGTGCTATATGACACAATATTGCCTATATCTTTTGATCTATTAAATCATTTCCAAGGCAAAAACTTTACATTTTGCAAAGAGTTTGAGTGTACTATTGGGGAGATTACCCTTCGCTTCCTGTCCTAGAGACAACGCAGGATGAAAGAGGAGATCTCCCCCCTTCTAGACATTTGTCACCACTGGAAGATCTCATCTCCTCCTGTTCTATTGACCGCTGTCACAAATTGGTCACCAGGACAAATAAAGATTATGAATCTCTCCCAGCGGATTCACAGACACCTGCAAAAGGTTCTAACCCTTACCTACTCTATCCATACACTTGAATGTTCTTACTAGTATGTGCGTTATTATAAACAGGACAACAGCAGCATTTGATAGGATATCAAGTTTATCTTTTGCGTTCATACTTGTATTTATTTGTGTCTATGGACCTGTACTGTGCTGTCTACATGTTTTCTCTGTGCTGGTTCCAAGAGATGTCTTTAAATACAGTAAGTTAACCCCAATCGGACTGATATACAGTTGAAAGAAGTAAAATTGGGTCTTTCTTGTCTCCAGGAGCATGTTCTGATTGAAGCCTACAAGAAGTGCCTGGAGGTACTGACACATTGTCATGGCGGATTCACAGATGGGGAACAGCCTATAACTCTCAACATGGCGGGCCACTCAGTGGATACCATACGGTACTGTGTGTCTCAGGAGAAAGTAAGCATCCACCTCCCAGTCTCACGACTTCTAGCAGGTAAGTTAGCCATAAATTTGACAACACAATGGCAGATCCCTGCTGATGTAGGAAATGGCATTGTTCACTTTGCATGTATTGGTACTGATGTCATCCCAGACATTGTATAATGCCAGCGAAAAGGAGGCTTGTCCTGGGATTTCTGTTTCTATATATCTGTACATTGGGCTCTGTGTTTATAAGAAAACCTTTTAATGGCTTTTGCTATTTTTTATCTTTTTTTCTTTACGGTTACCAGTTTATACATTATATATCTATATCAAATGATTGGATTCAACACTATACTGCAGTTACAATGTATTTATCCTTCCATGGAGCAAAACAGCACAATCTTGTGAACAAACAACAGTTTTTGGCGTCCCCGCCCTTTCTCAAGTTCAGGAAAGGGTTGGGATGCCTGAAACTGTTTGTTCAAAAGATTGTTCTGTATAACCTGTTTTGCTCCATGAAAGAATTAATACATTTTAATTGCAGTAAATTGATTGGTGTTGCATCCCAACATCTAATTAAGCAGTTTGTGGCAGGGAAGTTGTAGCTTGATTGATGCAGATACCAACGTTGGTGTGTGTGTGTGTGTGTGTGTGTGTGTGTGTGTGTGTACATGCCCACACACCCTTCCTCGTGTCAGAGCTGGAGCTCCCCACTCAGCAGTAAGTATGAGCTTTGCTGATTGAAGACCCATATATCTGAATAAGCAGAGGATTGTATTTAAAACTGCTTTTGGAGAGGATTGTGGCCATGCTATGGTCATTGTAATATTTACATGTTCTTAACAGGCACCAAATAAAATAAGCCCTTACTGACCTCGGTGTTTAAGGCCATAGTGGAGCAATTCATTCTCATAGTTCACAATACAAGCCAGGTCTGCTTTCCCATTTTTTGTGCACCTTCTCTGTGTTTAGATTAGAGATGAGAAAGCTGACAGGCTGCCAAGTCACAGCTTGGAGGAGGGAGCTGAGCTATCACAAAAAGTAAAACCTGAGGTTTAGCTGCAAGCAAACTTTGAGGGCGAATTGATATACTGCTTATAAAGTATACATACATATTTGAATGTCCTTAACCTGGACTCAGTTCTGCTTTATGTATTCTCTGACTGAATTAATAACTGGATCTTTGTCCTTTTTTCACTCTTAGGGCTGCATGCATTGCTCAGTAAAAGTGAAGTGGCATACAAGTGTCCTGAGCTTCTACCCTTTGTAAGTGTAACAATTTCCATCTGCTGTCCATGTCAAACATGATCCAGACATTGTTCAAGACATTTTTAATGAAAGCTTTCTGTTTAGTAGTCCACACTGAACTGCAGAACTTTACTGCCAGGTGAAATGTAGATAGTAACATTAAATAGATAATATATATAAAAATATATCATGAGTTAAAGAAGTTTGAGGAGACTTAAAAAAAAATACTCTCCCCAGTACTTATTGCTGGTCAGCTTGGTCGACTCTTGGTCTTAGAGGCGGTATGGAACAACTGCATTGTCCTACGCCGCCTCTAAGACCGAGAGCTGACTGAGCTCATGATTGTTGATCATTCGCCCTCATTCACACGAGTACCAGCCGGCCCGTACAGATCTGTGGTGCATGCACGGCCGTATCGGGCAGCACCCAGGAATGACAGGTGCTGCGTGTGATTATACGTAGCAGTCTGTTCTTCTCTATGGGAGTACGTGGCCGTATGCCTCCCTACGCTAACCCGAACTGCACGTCGGTGCGGGTATCCCTGCTCAGACGCAGATCGGATCCATCCTGTCAGCGTACGGGCACCCGCGTAGACGTGCAGTTCGGGTGAGCGCAGGGAGGCGTACAGCCGTGTACTCTGTGAGAAGAACAGGCTGCTGCGTATAATCACACACAGCACCTGTTATTCCCAGGAGCTGCCCGATACGGCCGTGCATGCAGCACAGATCTGTATGGGCCGGCTGTTACTCGTGTAAATGAGGGCTTCAGCTCTTGGTCTCTATTCCCAGCAAAGAGCATTGATTCTGAGTCTCTGTCCCTGTAGGAATTCCCCATCTCCACTCTGCTTCTCTCCTGGAGCTACAGGCAGGGGAGAGGGTGCACATGGCTGGTTCTCAGCCACACACAGAGAGGCAGAGCCAGCCGTCAGGCAGCTAGGGTGGACCATATTGTTGGGATGCTTTTCAACTGTAGGGTCACATCACTCTGTAAAGTTTGGGTAGAATAGCACCTACCGAAATAATGATGTATTAAAGTGCAAGCAATTGCCGTCTTACACTTAAATACAATTTTGACACATTCTTTAGTATGATGTTATATCTTCATTTGCAGTATTAGTGTGCTCTGTAAATGTGATGTTTCTTGACTGTTTCTTAGAGTGAACTGAGCCCACCAATGCTGATTGAGCACCCACTGCGCTGCTTAGTACTATGTGCTCAGGTGCATGCTGGAATGTGGAGAAGAAATGGATTCTCTTTAGTAAACCAGGTGAGTAATCTTCTAACTTACATTTTTCTGTATTTTTGTTAAAGCTGAGCTATTCCTCTGTGGTTTGCCAAGGCTGTTACCATAATGTGCCGTTATGCACAGCTTGCTTTTATATTTTGGTACACTTGCTTTCCGAATTGCCCTCTTCCAGTGATCAACATAAATGCTCCCTCTTATCACTACATTGCTGCTGCCGCCATGTTACCCCGATCGTCTTCCACAGTTTCCGCTTTGCATGTGTGCAGGAGTTATTTACTCCTGACACTTACTCCTGGGATTGTACTTGGTGTCCATTTAAAATACAATTGATGGAAGGCATGGGAAGAGGTTTCATTGCAGAAGAGACATGCATAGGTTCTTTTGTCATACAAACCTACCTAAGTGTTTTCAAATGTTCGAGGAGTTTAGGGGAAGAATTGTTTGATTGAGAATTTCTTGGGGTTGTAAGACATATAGACATAAGGATCTCATAACTTTCAAGCTTCTTTCAAGAAACATCTATATTATGCTGGTGTGCCTTAGTAAGAAACATTATTTGTTCTATATCATTTCTGACCTGTTTTGTTTTTTTCACAGATTTACTACTATCATAATGTGAAATGCAGAAGAGAGATGTTCGACAAAGACATTGTGATGTTACAAGTAAGCTATGGTTACTTTTAATGCCTTCACTTGTCAAAAGCTTAAAATAAAACACTGTGCTTGCTGTATCTACAATGGAGGGTGTTTTTTCATTCAGTAAAAAGTGACCCATGTCCCTGGCCTTCCTGACCATCATATAGTAGCCTTGCCTCCGCTCCTTCGCAGCCAGTGGCCAACAACCTGGCAGAGTGGGGCATCACTCCCTCAGTGTTGTGACAGTGTTTAGGCCTAGCAATTGACTGCCAGGCTCGAGCACTTTCACAGGGGAACAGGTCGCATAATAAAACATGCTTGAAATATTCTGCATGAGCAAAGTTAGTCTCTTTCAAGATTATATATGTTGTGTGCATAGATATATGTGGGGGCGGCTAAGTTAAATTTGTCTGGATTAAAGAAACGGTTAGTAAAGAAGTAGTGGAAAAGTTTATTATTACAAGGAGTAATTTGTATGTGAAATATGAAAAGTAATTGGTAGAAGAGAAGAAGATATGTTATATAACATTTTGGAATTATATTTTGTATTAAATATATTATAATGAAATGTTTATATGTGATAGCCGCCCACGAGGAAGTCTTTTTTGGTGGTTAAATGTTGATGTTGAATTATATTATGTAAAACTTTAAAGAATAAGTAAAAAAAAAAAAAAAAAAAAAGTTAATACCTGGCAAAAAAGGAAGAAACACATCCTCACATGTGTCATCTCTAAAAATGCTGCAAGTACAGAAAAATACCTAATGATGTTGCCAGTAAAACCATTGAGATTCTAACTTCCTTTAGTGTGCTGACAACCCTGGCCCTTTTGCAATGAAATCCCAAGCAGTGTTATCAGCCCTGTCCGAGTTTTCCTCTGCTTGACTACAGAACTGCTCCCCTTTTTTGTTATGGTGATAAGAGAAGCTGCACCACTGCACAAATGCAGTCTCGCATCCTACAATATGTGTTTTAATTCTAGGCCGGAGCTTCCATGATGGATCCCAACCATTTTCTGATGATTGTGCTCAGCCGGTTTGAACTCTACCAGATACTCAGCAACCCTGATTATGTGAAAAGGTTCAGAAAAGACAACTCAAACAAGGTATGACTTTATCCTCTACACTTTATGTATTATCACTTTACAATTGGGGGGGTCATGAACAAGCCTAATCCTGGTATGAATGTACAGTACTGTGCAAAGGTTTTTGGCAGGTGAGAAACAATGCTGTAAAGTAAGAATGCGTTCAGAAATAAGTGTTATAGTTTTTTTTATCAATTAACAAAATGGAAGTAAATGAACAGAAGAGAAATCCAAATCAATATTTGGTGTGACCACCCTTGCCTTCAAAACAGCATCAATTCTTCTAGTTCACTTGCACACAGTTTTTAAAGGAATTCAGCAGGTAGGTTTTTCCCAGCATCTTGGAGAACTAACCCCAAAATTTTGACTTATCAGTCCAGAGCAGCTGCTATGTTTCTGCACCCCAGCTCCTTTGTTTTCGTGCATAGTTGGGTCGCTTAGCCCTGTTTTTATGTCGGCGGTATGGCTTTTTGGCCTCAATTGTTCCATAAAGACCACTTCTGGCCAGACTTCTCCTGACAGTAGATGCGTGTACCTGGGTCCCACTGGTTTCCGCCAGCTTGGTGCTGATGGCACTGCTGGACATCTTCCGATGTCGAAGGGAAGTAAGAGTGATGTGTCTTTCATTTGCTGCATTAAGTTTCCATGGCCGATCACTGCGTCTACGGTCCTCAACGTTGCCCCTTTCTTTGTGTGTCTTCAAAAGAGCTTCAACAGCTCATCTTCAAACCCCAGTCTGCTTTGAAAGTTTTGCCTGGGAGCGGCCTTGCAGATGCAGTATAACTACCTTGTGTCTTGTTGCTGTGCTTAGTCGTGCTATGGTGTATGACCTGGGACATGAAACTGTCTTCCACAACCTCACCTTAGTAGCAGAGTTTGTCTGTTCCTCACCCAGTTTTAAGCCTCCTACACAGCTATTTCCGTTTCAGGTAATGATTGTCTTTCAACCTACCTATGAATTTGATGATCATTAGCACCTGCTTGGTATATTTGGTTAATCATACACCTGACTCATCCTGACCCTGACTTTGTGCAAGTGTAAAAACTGATGCTGGTTTGAAGCCAAAGGGTAGTCACACCAAATATTGATTTGATTTAGATGTTTCTTCTGTTCACTCTTTGCATTTTGTAAACTGAAAGAAATAAACAATACAAATATATATTTTTGAAAGCATTCTTACTTTTCAGCATTTATTCACACCTGCCTAAAACATTTTTACAGTACTGCATGTGGCCTAGGTGCAAAGTGAAAGGTTCAGAAATGGGGAAATGTGTAATTATCTGCAGCGAGACATCGGTCTAATATACTGTATGGCTGTGCTTGCTGTTGCTTTTTTTCCCCAATCTTTAAACTTTTGAGTCATGTTTATAATGTATGTGCTTTATCCGATGTATTTAAAGAGACTCTGTCACTTTGTCCATATAGAGGAATGTGACCGTGTCTGCTGATCCCTCACCCCCCCCCCCCCCCCCCCCATCAGCGGAGGAAACACCCAGACGA